CACACCAGGTATGTTTGTGATGAAAGAATAACATTATCACATAATGTAAAGGTCAAAAAAGTAGATTTGACCTTGTACTGCCCCTTTAATGTAAAAAAGAGTAATCAAATATAAATATCCCATCCATCCATTATCAAACATGCTTAACTCTAGTGAGGTCATGAGGGCTGCTGGTGCCTATCTCCAGCGGTCAACAGGCGAGACATGGGGTCATCCTGGACAGGTCACCAGTTGATAGCAGGGCCAAAAATAAATAAATAAATAAATATTCTTTTTAAAAATATAACTGGACTTTATATAAAATGTTCCATTTTTTGCTATACTTTTGTTGAACACTATAAATGTGATCAAAGCATACATAATTTTAAAACAACTAAATATTTCAATTAGGATCAACGTTGAACTATAAATTTCTGTTTTGGGTTTTATACATATTTGTATAACCAATTCCAGCCACCTACCTCTAGTTTTAACTCTTATTAAAACTTTGTTCTATTTATGCAGAATGACAAACATGCTGCTTCAAACAGTCAGTACATGCAGTTGTAAATCAGTCGCTTCTTATGTATGTATTCATGCAAACAACTGAGATTATTTAGCAGGATGAAAGTTGTCCTAGCTGTGCAAGTATTTGCAGGAAACAAGCATTTCCATCTTGGAATAGAAACAGCCATCCTGTACTCCTTCTTTATTCAGCTGCTCCCCCTGGCTGTTAAATTCCAACCCTCCTGCCTGTTTCCCCCATATCCTGCCTCCTGCAGTGATGAAAACAGAAATAAATACTATATGGAGAATCTCTCTCCTTCAATTTTCATAATAATCTAGAGTCTTAAACCTTGCCTTATTTCACTGCAGAATAAACAGTGATGTACAACCCTTTCATTCAAATCAGTTTCTAGAAGTTTTTCTGTGGTAAGCAGATGATCTAAACAACAGTCCTCTCCCCTAAAAAAGAATAATTAATGTAAGACTGTGGTTGGACTCATTTCAAGCAGTATATCTACACTTGGAAGTGAACTTCATGAAGGAAACTCCTCCATCCCACTGATTCCTACCCTCCTCTTTGGATTCCAACCCTGCTGCTATTTCTGCACTCTCACGCAATCGGCTTGTGCCGGCGTGAACACATCTCCCTCGTTTTTCTGTGCGCCAAGCATGTTATTTGAATTTTTAAGACGTTTCATGCAATTTCATCAGACCTGCCCACACTAAGGAAGTTGGGGATAAAATTAGCTTGAGTAGATGAGGCTCCAAGGTGACTGGTGATAGTCGTGTGGGGTTGTTTGCCAATTAAAAACTCTTGATATAGCTTTCTATTCCTGGTTTAGGTGACAAACAGAGTTGAAATCTTTGAAGTCAGATGGTTTTCTTGTGCAGAACATATAATTCAGAAATGTTTTCATAATGTTTTGGGGCTTTTTAGTTTGATACTATTTAAATCTAAAAGCGCTTTCTTGATGAAGGTGCAATAACAGCTTCATTACTCTGTCATCTCTTTAATGAAGCTCAGTAATTAATGTGTTAGAAGTGAGTGAGCATCTGTTTTTTTTTCTTTCCCTTGTCTTTGACAGTAATTAATTAGAACTGTGGTTGGAGATTTTGGGTGTCTTACAGACAAACTTGAGAAAAGAAGAGTTTCCAAAAATGGGACAAATGATGAGCATAAAACAGGAACTGTAACACTGTCGATTGGAATCAGTCATAAAACTGCATCTGTTGAAGTCACAAAGTGTGCTTTCAGGAAACAAGTTGCTGAGAATAAAGAGTAACTTGCATGAGCTGTGCAGCTGAAGTACAGTGGAAATTGTTCTGGGTTACAGATCAACAGGAACTTAATTCTTCACAGTTCAACAAAATAAAAATCGTGATTGCTGTAACTTGGTAGTTCTGTGTAAAACTTCATTCATGACTTTAGCATGTTAAGCTCATGTTACTAGCATATTTAGCAACATGTCTGGTGAAAAGGAAGTAATATTAATAATTTCATCACAGAGAAAGTGTTTTAAAAAGTGTTTATGTATGCTATATCACAATATTAACATAATTGTTTGCATATTTATATATATAAAATGTGTAAGCCCACATTGACCATAAAACAAGGTGTTTCTCTCACCATTGAAAAAATCTGATTGTGTTCATTCTGCAGCATTTTCTGCTTCTCACCACAAGACTGTAAAAAAAGACTCTTTAACCTTTCTCACATAGCGCTTCCACTGAACAGTGTAAATGCCAATATTGATCATCCCGGCCTATTTTTAATAGAATACGCTTTCTTTTGATATTTTAATGTAACACACTGAAACCTGTAGAGCTACAGCTGAGAATTTCATTGATTCTGCAAAAGGCTGCAGGGTCCGTGAATCTCCCCTGACGACTTAGCCTCATCATGCCATCATTAAATGTTGTCATAATTCATGATTTTTAGAGGTCAGAAAAACAGGGGAGATGTCAGAATTAAATGGTTTAAGCTCATATGACAACTTCACAAGAGTATGAGATTTTTTCCAAGGCAACATTTGTTGTTCTTGAATTTTAGCTTTTTTCACCTCGTCTTTTACCGTGATTCCTTCTTTACAGTCGTCCTGCTGTCTACCCTCCTTTTCATCCCACTCATCGTATCCTATTTACAAGTCTAATATCAGGCTCATCCACCGCAGTCTTCTTTTTTATGTCTATTCATCACATTCATTTTCCACATCCCTGCTTTCAATGTCTTCATCCAACTAATCTTCTTCATCCTCTTTTTATGCTTTTTCATCCATTTCATTCTCATCATTTTTGTTCTGAACCCTTTCCATCCCAATGATCCACTTCATCTCTATATCATTGTTTTAACATTTATCCTCCTTATTCTTTTAGCCAATGATTAATCCCGCTCATCCTCTGTCATCCCACTCATCCTCCTTATTTTTATGCCAGTCTTTCATCCCACTCATCATTTTAATACCAATGTTTTATCCCTCTTATACCTCTTCACAGTCCTGTCTTTATGCCCATCCACCTCCTCCCTCTTTCTTTTTATTGCTCTTCATTCTTTTTTTTCCATTACACTCATCCATCTTATTCTTTTTTGTGGCCACTTTTAACCCCACTCATCCACCTCATTCTTTATTTACAACCTGGTCGTCACACTCATCCCTCTTTTTGATGCGTTTTCATCTCATTCATCTTCCGTATTCCTTTTTGTGTCCCCGTTTTATAGCGGTCATCTTTCTCGTCTCCTTTGGAATAATTTTTTCTTTCAACTCATCCTCCACAGCCTCCTTTATTAGCACTTTCATCCGACTCATTCTCTTCATTCCTTATGTTTTTGATTCCCATCCTCCTTCTCCCCTTCTTCAAAACTCTTCCACCGTATCCCACCTACAGTAATGCGGCTATAATATGTACTACCTGTTTTAAATGGTTTTATAAACATTCAGTTGTTTTATGCGCTGCTAATTCAGAAAAAAAGTCATTCTGAGCGCTATAAAAGAGAAGTTCAACACAAAAATATTACTATTTTTGTGTTCAACTTCTAGTAGAACACAATAGCAGATTTGGTTTTATATGTAAAAAAAAGAAGTAAATCTAGTCTTTGTTCAATTCTGAGTCACTTTAACAACTCAATATCAGTTCATTACTGCTTCTCATTTCTACCATTATCTCTTCTTCCCAATTCCTATTTTGCTTTTTGTATCATCTGGCTGGCTGCAAAAATGACCAGATCATTTTCATACTGAGACGACTCCCCACAGTTTAAGTCCCTGTTGTTATAATAAAGAAAAACTTAACAAAAATCACAAATAGCAACCGTTCTTTATGACTTATCACCCAGGGCAAACTTTTTAAACAGGACATCAGAATCACTCAGGAGAAATAAAATTCCTGTCAGTTTTCACATCCAGTCCAGGATTGTGATAAAATATATCAATCATTTTGCCTTATTAATAACCCAGGAGCTGATTTCTGATTCTGAGCTTTTAATACTTTCATCATCTGTAGGTCAAACTCTGAAAGATTTATTTTGTTTAAACTTTAGTTAGACTAATCTACAAGTCAATATCAACAAAGTAGATTTTTTTCCAGTTCCTCTGGGCAGTGTTCATCCAGATGACTTAACTTTCTCATCCTCTCCCTCTCCTCAACTTTAATACCCCACTCATAAAAGCAGACAATATTTAAGCACTTGATCATTTCGAATGTTTGTTTAATTGAGAGTTAAGTAACATATTAAGAAAAGTGTCTTTTTTCTACATTTTCTTTTAAATTTAGCCCTTTTCTGTCTGATGATCTTTCTGTAGGTAAGAAGTATTTCGCCCTCCTCAACGTCTCTTTGAAGCTGGAAGTTTTTTTTTCTTCTTCTTCTTTGGGTTTGTTGCATCTCTACAAGGACTTGCTGTAATTACGTTTGCCTGCTGCATTTAGAGCCGATGAAGCACAAGGTTTAGTTTTAGCTATTTAAAAAAGTAAGGAGTGTGACTCATCTCTTTGGTTCAAATCCTCCCCCGCAGCTCCATGACTCCACAGATATTCCTCTCCACTAATTTACATCAAGAGATGAATTAAGTGTGGTTAGAATTTTTTTCGGTTTTAGCAACGCGCTACTTTAGTATATTTATGTTAACTGCCGAATTATACACCTGAAGGAGAGACTGTTACACATGGCTATGAGGGGCTCTCCAGTGACAGGGACCCCTCCCCCTCACACATACCCCCACTTAACCCCCAAACCCCATCCCCATCTGGATCTTTCTGCCTCTCAATTAACTCTAATGGAAGTGGCAATTAATTAACTCCTCTCAAAGAATGATTAAGAAGCTGACAATCAAGTGAGTGGGAGGGGTTTAAGTAATGACAATTAAGAGGTAATGCTTTCCCGGCAGAAGAAATACATTTAAAAAAAAAAAAAAGAAAACTAAGACTCGCGTGCGTTCCGGATCAGCGTGTATTTCCGTCAGGTGAGCTCAGCCCGGAGTTCAGCCTGATCTCTGCAGGTTCAAGTCAGCGCGAGGCCTTACCGTGCTCCTCTGGCCGCTGGCTCCTATTGGTCCCCTGAAAACCCCCTTGATGCTCCTCAGCTGTCCGTCACGCAGGTGGGTGGAACTGATCACGATGTAGTAGCACGCCATTGGATAAAGTCGACTTTCATGAGGTTGAATATCTATCTAGCTCTTTTTTTCAAATCTTGAAACTTCCTTGTCTTCCTTCTGCGGCGCTTCTTCTGCTCGTTGCTTTTATTAGGAAGAGGACGGGAAGAGGAGGAGCGGCTCGGCTCGGCTTTCCTCGCTGCTCGCGCTCATTTATTCTCTCTCTTCTCCAAGTTTTTTGGAAGTTCCTCCTCAGCTAAGACTCTCTCTCTCTCTCTCTCTCTCTCTCTCTCTCTCTCTCTCTCTCGCTCTCTCTCTCTCTCTCTCTCTCTTTCTCTCTCCGGGTCCTCGTAAATATTTCACCCTCTGTTCCTCCTCTGCTTTTCTGAGACGCTTTCTCCGTCTTTTCTGGATTTGCTAGCTGTCCCTGTCTCTAGTTAAATATTTCTCTTTAAGTCTTTTCACCCATCTCTTATTCATCAATCCTCGTCGCTGACTCCTCTCTCTCTCTCTCTCTCTCTCTCTCTCTCTCTCTCTGTCTTTCCGCTGAGTCTAAATTTCTTGGTGAAATTGATTAGTCTCGCAGTTGCTCTAACTATCTCCTCCTCCTCTGCTCAGTTCCCTGGTGTTTGTCCTGGCTCTTTGTCTAAGTATGGAGCAGGTCTACTTTCTCCTGTCCCTCTCAGTCCTGTCCTTCCTGTCAGAGCAGCGCGTGCAGCTTCCTCTCAGATGCTCCTCTCCTCCGCATGTGCTCGCGCTCCTCTCTCCCTCCCTCCGCTGATCTCTGGCTCTGTGGCCGGCAGAGTGGTTTGCTCCTCAGTTACCCCGCCGTTACCATCTGCCCTTTTAACACATGGAGTGCTGACGCTTGCTCCCTCTCTCTCCCTCTACCTCTCTCTCCTCCATCCATCCATCCCTCCCTGCCTCTCCTCTTGCCGTCTTTCTTCTGCCTTTAATCATCTCCTTCTCTCTTTCTCTCAAGCCAAAGGAGACAAGCTCCACCTACTGGTTAGCGGGGATCGCACAGAGCAAAGACACGGAGAGGAGGACACGGTCTGAATCCACGCCACGCTGCCTGGACGTTCACCCACAGGGAGATCTAACCTCCCACAACCACACGGTTTACAATAAAGAGTTGGGTTGTTTTTTTTTCTTGGCTGAAAAAGTTAATTTGTCTCTTTTTTAGCATAAAAGACAAAGCAAATTTATTCAAATAGCCTAGAATTACTTTTGCTGGCCATTAAGTCTCACCAACTGAAATTTAAGACTTTTTAAGGCCATAATAATTGAAATCTAAGACCTGGATCAAGACAGAAATGTATTTAAACATTCATTTATATACATTAGAATAGGAAACTGTTAAATAAATTGTACTATTTATGAGATTAACTACAGATACTCATTCTTACATTCTCAGGGCTTTGGCTGAGATTTCTCCCATTGAGCTGAATTTCACAGGGTGAATTTCACCCTGGTCAATTAGCAAACGGACAGAAGAGACGTGAACGATGATGTTGATTTTCTACATTGGTTTAGAATGGTGGCAGTTGTAGTTTGGAAGTGGATGAAGCTGTTCGAGATCTGGTCGACCCAGTGGGGCGGGCTCCATCAAAGCTTTTAGAGTTTATATTATATATTTAAATGGACATAAAATGTTAACTTTTGTTAACATTTTTCATGTTCAAGAAAAAAAAATTGGGCCAAGATTCCAGTACTTGGAGAATTGAAATATAATCTCATGGTTTTTATAGAGGCAAGACAATGTCTGGTTCTTTAGATTTAAAACAAGAGCATTTTAAATACAGGCATGAAAATAAGTTTTTATACCCTGAAGAAGTCTGTCTTTTAGAATTTAAAAGTAACCCAGGCACTATTTTATTTTTCTGCAGTTAAAATCCCCCTTGTCTTGTTTATAATAAATAATCCATCTCTAATATTTATAAGATTTGAAGATTTAGTTGAAAGGAACCACAGAACCTTCTGCTCTACGAGGGCTTTGAGCCGTCCATGTCTATGTTTCAAAAAGACTTCTTTCATTCATTTATGACAGAGACAGCTCAAAAATATAAGACAAATGTCTCCCTAAAAGAGACGGAAAAGAGGATTCTTGGCTCGTTGTCATCTCAGGCTTCCAATATTCAGTCCCTTATAAATCACAAGAAACCGACTGATTGCTAATTCCTTTATCTAATCATCATTTTTATGTTCTTTCTCTTTCATAAATGTGTGAACTTCCCATTCTGAAGCTCATATTTTCTCCTCAGAACATGTTTTCTTATCCCTTTTCTGTTTGTCAGAAGAACCAGCGTTTGTCCTGTTAGAAGTGAATTAAGGTTTCACTTCCTGTATACTTTTCAGAGAAATGAATCTTAATGTGCTCTTTGAGAAGTTAGGGATTTAAATTAAAACGGACCATTTATTTTCTCATGTCTCCAGAGAAAACTAATCAGTGAAAGCAGCTCTGAAAAATGGATGCAATGAAGATGCAAATGAACATCCTAATCAGCTCAAATCTGTATATTTGACCTTTGACCTGCACTGGACAAATTATGAAAACATAGAAGGTTGTCAGTAAAAGTCAGAATGATACCTAAACATTTTTTATCTTCAGCCTTGCGGTATGTTCTCTGATTAGACTGAGATGCAGGTTGGGTTAGACTGAATGTGAGAAGGAAACATATGGCCTAGTAAAAGGAACAAAACTGAGACACAGAGAAGCCACAGAGGGCGCGGCTTTGCCAGGCTGAGCTGGCCAGAGTCACGCTGTCTCAGCTTCAGGCCCAACTGAACCTACCGACTGAAAAACTGACAAGGTTTCAAAATGCATTCCACACTCAGATAAATTTAACATTTTAAAGTTTACAAACGGCCTACAAAAATCACAAGTGATGTCAGGAAATACTGTTTTCATACATTTCTGCTTTTGCCATTCATAATATTATTGAATGAGTTTAATATAATTTTTTAATGAGACAAATAAGCAGGAAGAAGAGTGTAATTCTGAAGCGGAAGAAGGATTATACTTAGTTTTATGTTTTTCAGCAAACAAAAATCTTAAAAGCATAATGTGCATTTGCATTCAGACACATTTTTATTTAGAAATGATGTTAGTTTCTAATCTTTAGAAACTAACACAAAAATATCTAATTGCATGCTGTAATTTTGTGTAACATTTACATTTTCAAGAGACTGTGTTTACATTTCCGTGTTTTCAAAGGTATTTCTTACATTATATGAAATGGAAGTCTGCCTCTAAGCCTGCAGAAAGAGAGAAAAACCCAGAAACCACAACAACAAACAACATTACATATAATGTTAACATTTTTTTAGTTAAACTAGTCTGGCACATCACCTGATCATCAGGAATCATTAACCAAACACATTCAGGTCTCCTGAAAATATCCCCATGAGGTGACCTGATGCCCTCAGGACAACTTATGAAGCAGTGAATGCTAGTACACCAGAAAAGGACAAATAACTTTATTAATAAGTATGAAAATATATTAACAAAATAGTTTAACTTTACAGTAAAACATTTAGCCAATAAACCCTGTAAGTAAACTACCAGGCATTAAACCAATGTTATGAAACAATGTCTGAACTATTCAGAACTAACATAGCTCTGCCTAGACACAAGAAAAAGGTCTGTCTTTTTTTTCATGGTGAAAAATATCAAAATGTGGAGGGAATAGCCAGGCATCCTTATAACTTCAATTCTGGGATTAATATCTTTATGAGTATGAAGTCTTTTTGTTACCTAAAATCCCTCTTCCATACATCACTGCATTAAGCTCGATCCTCTCAGCACCCATTTTTTTCTGTTCATACTGATTGTTGTAAATACAACAAAATTCAAAGAAATGTAACTTTAGGTGTTTTCTTATTTTTCTGGTGTACATTTGTTAATGGCCTAGTAAAGTGTGACCGCTGTGACAGGCTGCCTCTTTCTGCAATGACACCTTTCCTCCTGCTGTCAGACCGTTTTCCCTCACCGCTCACCAGGATGTGGAACAAGCCCACCAAGGCCCCTCTTCTCTCCAGTCTCCAATTCCACAGTGGACCAGTTAGTTGGAGGAGAGTGTGGGTGGCTCATGCAACTCCACCGATTTTAAATGTGTTCTAAGATCCCTGGGAGTTTTACTGAGAAAAAGAGAATGATATTAATCTTGATGTTGGAAAAGGTGTCTCACTCCTGAATCCAAGCTAGAAGAAAGTTTCATAGTTCAGCAGCCTGATAACTTATAGCTTTTACTTACTTTTTACAACTTAACATTTCTTGGAGCCATAGATATGTCAAGTAGGTTTTAACTCATTATTTACAAAACAGTCATAAGATATGTTTGCTAACCTGCCAGTCAATCTGTTTGTCAGTCTGACATGAATTGACTACATGTTTATGTGGGAATATTTCTGCCTTAATCCTGGTGTTGTCATTACAGCTTTTTAGAAGAAAGACATGAAATCCAACTTTTAGACTGAAAGGCTGAATGCTTGACATAATCCAAGAGAAAAATTTCCTCATACATGTTCCCAATGTAGTAATTCAGCTGATAGAGGTCAAACAGTTTTTCAGATTTCATCAGACTCCAGTGGTGAATCTGTGTTTAACAAGATCTTCTCTTATTCTGATTACTATCTGATACAGGGGAGAAGGAAGAAGGTTGGACAGGCATGTTGCATTTCTTCTGATTTTTATGACGGTGACATGACACGTCCATCATGATTCTGGGCCAGAGGAAGCCAGATGTGAACAATGGCTGAATATTGTGATTATGAAATTCTGAAACAATCTCATGTCAGTGAAGCAGTGAAGTTGCAGTCAATGGTTCACTAAAGGCCGTTGCAATCGTTTTTTGCTTCTTTTGTATTCTGATCATGTTGGCGGCCATGAATAGTTTGCTGCTGTGTGACATCAACACTTTTCTGCACCTGCTGGTCACTTTGGAGTCATAAACCATTCACAGCAGTCTGATAGCAATCACAGTTAATTAGAAAAAAAAAGGATTTCAGCAAATGAGTGGAAGTGAGCATCAATACAGTTAGATTAAAGAGAAAACCAAACCCCATGGTTGTTCCCTCACTGGTCCTTGGTGATCAGTGTGTTATGGTGATGGCACACACTGCTCGGTTGGAAGTTCATCCTCTTCTGTTTCTGACTTTCTGTCCTGACATGTCAAAGAGTGGCCAAGCTTCTAAAAGTGTTTCTCCCTTCATGGCTTGCTGCCATGTTGTAGTTGTCAAACAATCAGTCATGGACTCGAGGAGTAGATGATGTGTTTGCAGCACTCAAATTAACCCTTGACTGACAACCATGACGCCCAGCAAATAGAGGTTTTTACATTTGGCCTGAAAAATACTCAAATGTTCTTAAAGGAAAATACAGCCTTTCAAATATACATGGAAACAAAAAATCTGTAATAACAGCAAAGAAGAAGAATCTAAATTATTCTAGGGACAGTTTCACAGCATTGAATAAAACATCATGATACAATCAAAGCTGCTGCTGATATAAAATAATAATAATTCCACTGTAGGTTTTCAGTCTGTGCATGATGAATAGATTATACAGCTGCAGACTCACCAAAATATCCAAGGTCAGCAAGTTTAGAGAAACTCAAACTCATGTACAAAACCTGAGGGAAAATGATACTGCAGATAATAATGTAACATTTTGTGTGTTCACCTAGGAGATGAGCTTCATGAGAAAGTAAAGAAGTAAAGGTTTATTTCTTGAGCACTTCTCAAATCATATCATTTGAAGTCCTTTAATCCTAATAGAGGGATAAAAATAAAAATGCAAGTCGAAATAAGAAAATAACTTAGAGAAGAGGTAGTCTACAGGTGGGATTTGGAACAGTCAAAAGTTGCAGCATTGCTGCTCTTCAGAGACAGGCTGCTGTGGATTCAGTACAGTACTCTGATGTT